CAATTAGTGGTTGGTCAATTCTTAATACTATCTAGTTATAATTGATTTACTCTAATAAAAACTAGCTAATAATTATTTGTGTCCAACATGGTTATCCATTTAGACCTGCAAGTGGTGCTTACAAGCATCAAACATTAAGCATCTTGGCGAGGCTAATAGAATTTCAAGTACATCAGTCGAGCAAAGCTGTACACATTTGATCATAAAAAATGGAGACTAACAATGCATTCATATCTCTTTACATATTCATTAATAATTTGATATAAAATCAAAGGACGTAGTAGGATGGGTGGAAGCAAAACTCATTGACAAAGTTTCATACATTAAAGCATGGGATGCTAGTTGCAAGGCCATCAAGGCCATATTTGGAAGTTGTGAAGAACCATATTGGTCTTTGTTTAGGTTCATGGAGGTTATTTAATTTGTTTAATTTCGTCATAAGAGGCTCTATTTACATAGGGCAGTTTGGTCGTTCCAACCAATTCAATCATTCGTTCTAGGCCTTTTGGACCATTAATAAGCAGATGGAGTTAATATCTTCCATTATTAAGCATAGAAGATCAATTTTTGTTGGAAATATATAGAGGAACTTTGCTAACCTCTATTCCTATTAATGCGACAATGGGTTATTTTAGTAGCATTTGTTGTTAAGCAGTTTGAATGCAATGAGTTTTGGTGGTTCCTCAACAAAAAATTAAGAGAAGTAATACCAGAAGTTCTTGAATGATAAGATTTATGCATAGTTTCAATCATCATGTTGCGAGGATATCTTACTTTAGGTTACACATAAACATTATCCCACACTTGATAACTTTCAAAAAGTTATATGGGTAATGATTATGTTAGATGTAGAGTTGGTATAGAAAAAATGTACTCAGCTTTTAATACTGATGATGCATGAAAAGTTTTAGAAATATGTGGATTGTAGCAAGTTATGAGTTAATAGAAAGTGTTTCTAACAAGTTTCATCATTTGCAATTAAGATATATGGAAGGTTTTTATATGGGACAATATGGAAGGCTAATACTTTAAAAATTTTCAATGTAGTTTTAAAGCATGCTAGAGGTTTATCAATTCAAACTCTAATTTATTCAGTCTACTATGACATTGTAGCTCTTTTTATGAAGTGATTGTTAAATGTGTGTGAGCTTGAACAATCTAATTAATTAAAATTTGCCCCTAGGGTTAGTAGCTATTTATAAAGGCTAGCTAATAAATTTGTAGTGCAAAAAATGCATGTGAATAAAAATTTGAAAATAAAAAAATATTTTAAAATTATTAAATTAATTTCATTACATGAACTAATAAGTTTATCAATAAAAATAATTATAATAATGATCATTTACATATTGACAAATTTAATCAACCATGAATAAACAAAGTTAGGGGGAAGAAAATATCATAATATTATAATAAATTTTTCTCAATGCTTACCTTACAATATGTCCTCTTCTAGGAAAGCATAAAAAAGAGTAATGCTATTGGGTTCATCTCCAAATTACTTGGAACTAATTCAGAAAAGAAAAAAAATCATTATTCTTTGTAAGAAAGTAATGCTCAATTATCTTTCCTTAGAACAAAATTTATGCTAAAATCACCCAAACCTCAAATGAGACAACTTGGAAAGTGTATAGAATTTACAATTTAAGTATAATACCAAAAAAAAAAAAAATCATGAATTCACTTTCATTGAAGTGAACTCTATATAAGTCACATAATTCAATACTATCATGAAAATTTGAGAAAGAAATTATGAGATTAAGGCTTTGTTTGGGATGACTTTCTCAGCTTTATAATACAAAAATTAAAATTTTGTATTAGAAACTACTTTAAGAAACATCAAGAAAGCTATCCCAAATGAAGGCTAAGATTTACACTTATGCTTTTAAAAGCACCTAATAGCTACTAATGGCTTTGTAACTAATTTCAGATTAAAAGAAGACTCCTTACCAAACTTGCAGAAGGATAAGAAGAGGAAAGCCCTTGGCATTGCTTCGCATGTCGAGGATAATCATGGCTAAGCAAGAAAGCAGCAATGCATCCATTTCAACCAATTTTTTTATCTTGTAAGAAAAAAATTTCAATTAAAATAGTTGATACAAATTAAGGCTTCGTTTGAGACGGCTTTTTTACTGCTTTTTGAAGCTTCTTTTTCGTACAAACTGCTTCAAAAAGCAATAAAAAAGCCATCACAAACGAAGCCTTAGTTGTTGATAGAAGCAAAAAAGAGCACATAAATTAAAACTTGAACTAAAAATCATCACAATGTATGATGGCCAACCTCACAATACATTGTTTCCCAATCCAAAACTATGGGCAACTCTAAATCCACCTCTAATTAAGCACCAGGGACTATTATTGGTGCAATATTTAACTCTGAATATTCAAAGTAGGAAGTAAAAATAAATTGTTGCAACTGCCAACATTTAAAAGTGAAAATAGATGTTTCTTACCTAAGAATTCATATTAAAGAGCTCTTACTTTTGTTGTTCCTTGTCATGTGCAATTAAGAATAATCAACTAATTTAGACTTTTCCATAGCTAGTAGTTCTACCACTTTATTAGTTGTAAAATTGAGTGTTTTAAGGGCTGAGCAATTTTTAGCAATTATATATATGCCATGCTGTCTATGATAATCAAACATAAGAGCCTTAGTCACACGTTTACCTTCATCATAGCAACCCCTCACATCTAGAGATAGAAAAGAAGATAATACAAATGATTAACCCCAAAGAAAGCAAAACTACAATGTTTGAAAGAGATAGAAAAGTAAATAACTCATTCTCCTTTTCAATAACATTTAAGTGAACTATTGAAGACCAAGCCTATATTTATGTGCTCATAAATCCCATGGTAGTTGATAATACATAGGATTAATTGAAGCCCAATCAATATGTCACACTTGTAAACTTAATGCTCGACAAAGATGTATTGCATTGCCACAAAACAATCATTATCATTATTCAGATGTGGTCCATATGTGTTGAATATTATGACAATTTGAATTTCTAGTATAGAAAAATCAATAAAACCACAATGAGTTCAAATGTATGATATTATACTACATAAAATAAAAAGGAATAAAGTTTAGAGTTTGTGAAACGTGAAAACAAACAAAGCAATTATAATTTGTAAATACAATCTTTACCTATGCCATGCTAGTTATGATGTTAACAATCATGTGAATGCCAAAAGTTTGGTAGACTTAAAAAAGATTCATTTAACTCTTCCAAAGATTCACATGCATGATTTGCATAAGAATGTTGCACTTGCTTGCTAGTTTCTTGTGGCTTTTGAGCAATGCCACAAATAAAGTGGTGAATTACTATATACATAAAAAAATATTGAAATGGATGTATATCTTAGGCTAGTTACATAAAAAATACTAAAATAACTTTATAAAAAGAATGCTTTATTTATTATAGTTCTAAAAAAGAATTGGAAGTCTCAACTAACCTTTATAGTGTACAAAATAAAAGACATTGAGTGAGAAATGTGTTTCTTTTTTCTGTTGAATAGAAAGTGACAAACAAAACCTTCTATTTTCTCTATGATATATAATTTACATCATAGAGAAAGTAATTTTAAGTCATTTTCTCCAACTTTCTTGACTATTTTTATGATGCATTAATGCGTACATTTTATATTTTTGGTAAAATATATGAGGGCAAAGCTCATTCATTTACTATGATGAATAATCACAAATAATGATAAAATTACAACTCAACATAAAAACAAAATATATGAATAACTTGAATAAATTAAAAGAAACAAATATAAGAAAGACAATTAAATTTGATTTACCAACATAAAATAGATAAAATTAATAAAATTAAAAAGCTAAATTACTTTGATAAAGTATATTGCATTAACATCTAAACCATAACTCTCACCAAGGATGAACATAATTATTTTAACAATCATCATCAACTTGTGATACATGCAATTGAAGGTCAGTAAATTTTAAGGAAAATAAAATGTTAAATAAAATATATTTAAAACCGCAAACTATAAAGCCACTTGTATAATTATTGGTCGCGTCATCTAATTATATTTCTATCATGAACTGTAAAACCACATGCATGATACCTTGATTGAATGAAACATAGCTCATAAAATAATCATATTTCTCCATAAAAATCCATTGCACTAACTCCCATTCAATTTTGATAAAAAAATCACTTTCTAGAACACTATGTTGTGCATGATTTTCGCATGTAATCTCTAAAATAACTTATCATGTTACTATGTCAAATGATGCTTATAACAACAAAATGCTTCATTTAACCTAACCTGCATTTATAAGAAATAGTGGCTAATCTTCATAAAGTTTCTTATGGCCATGATCACCATCACTATAAAATAAGGAAAAAGAGAACTGCCCAAACTAACAACATCCACAAGTGTTGTAATAATGTTATGTGATGCATATAAAAATTTTAAATATGTGATGCTAAAAGATGGCAAGCATGCCTATATATGAGTAGATATAATTAATTATTAATGTATTCACACTAATAATTAATATGGTTGTTAGAATAGGTTTTGTTTGGGACCTTTTTTTATTTTTTGTAAATTTTTTTTAGTACAAAAATCTCTTAAAAGTAGAAAAAAATGTGATCTAAAATGGTCCCAAACATTTTAAACAAACTTTTTTATAAACTATTAAAAAAATTATATGTTATAAACAAAATTCAATAAATATAACACTCGTTTTTCAAAAGGAAATTTTCATTCCTTATTATCATGTTAAAATTAAATAATTAAAATAATCATCAAAATATTAAGCAATTAAAAGATTAATAACATATTACAAAAGAAAATAATAACTAAAAAAATCTCATAAATTAAAATTATTTTGAATATGATTTTTTTATTTTAAATAAAAAATAAAGTCTCCTTGTAGCTGACGATTTTCAACAAATGGAGGGTAAGTAAGCATCGTTGGCATGACGGCCTGATCTGAATATTTTTTATTATTTAAATCTAGAATAAGTTTGTTTTTATAATTTAGCACTCTATATCCGAAAAGAAATTAGGCGGAGCTGCCCGGGCCGGATCCGGCTGTTGCGCGAGCACATGATTGGCAGCTGAAATTCTCGACAGTTTGGTCGCAGCGGAAGCGTTCCATCATCCCTACCAGTCTCGGGCCACCAGTCTCAGCTATTCCTTGTTCCCTCCACGGTCACGTGGTTCTGTTTCTTCCTTTCCTTTTAGCTGAAACCCTACTCATCTTCGATTTTTCCAAACTCTGCCTTCCCGATCTCGTCCCTCAATGGAAGCTCGTTTTGAGTCATGAGGTGGAAAGTTATCCGCTGCGGTTTTCATGGCGATGCTGCTGAAGAAGGTCTGGGAATCGATGCTCAGCCGCTCGGGCTCGACTTCAAATTCGGGTCGTGGATCTTTGGATTTTCCAGCTAGGCCTTTCTCAATGGGGGCATTTGACCAGCTGCCCACTGATGTGCTCATGCAGATTCTGAGAATGCTTGGGCCCAGAGACGCCGCAAAGGCGAGAGCTGTCTGCTGGGCATGGAAATCGTTGGCATCGGACAACATGCTGTGGATCTTCTTTCTCCATAATGGAAAGGAGCCTTGGGATTCTGTGGTGTTTGCCGAGTCGCACCTACGGGTTGGGTTTCGTTCCATGTAAGTTTCCAGTCTTTTTCTGATGGACGCTGTTGTTCCATTGATAAATCGTTACTCATTGTCCTGATTATTAAATAGAATAGTTTAGTGAATCAAATTTTAATATTCCTTAGGAGGATTAAACTTTATATTCATACATAACTTCATACCGTGATAAAATGAGCCCAGAAAACTTGGATTGCTTGATTAAGTAGTGCTTTGGCTTGATCCTGATTAATCCCTCGCCAATCAATTCGGCTAGTGGATAATCAGATCCTGATAGGCAGTGACTGCTTTTTTTTTTGGTTCTTTAATTATTGTTTCCTCATCTTTGGTCAGTTTCACTGCCAGTTTCTTGTGTTTTTTTAATGTAGAACCTTCTTATGATGGTGCATTGTGGCTGTTGAATGATCACTTTGACGATCCTTCGCATAATGAACATATATAAACTTAAAATTAGAACACATTATTTCAATTAGAACATCTATGCTCACATGCTATTAACATTTTTTGTGCACTTTTCAAAGCATGAGAGAACACTCTACACCATATGTAAATGTCTCAACCATGACACTGACTAATGGCCCTTTGAGTGTGAGAGCAAGGCTACTTAAAATAATAAAAGAGCCAACAACTTAGATCCTTCCTCTTGCCCACACACTGGTGGATTCATGATTTTTATATTTGACCCATAACCCACCGTCTCCCGAATTAAGTGTTTGTTGGTTGCAAGGAGGATTGACATTCAGGATTATGTATATCCGTAAGCTAGAAGATCTGGTAAGTTTAGGAACTTATAACTTTATTTATTTTGTAAAGGTTGACAAGAATTCTAATCTGAAATATATTATTAATCCTTTTGGAACAAATGGATGATTATTTAAATTTAAATGTTTAGATTACAATGCCTATGCTCTAGATAACTGATGTTATGTTCATTGATTGATTAATATTTTGAGTACTTTTTACATAATTACGGTTCCTTTAATATGAACTGGTTGTTTGAACAACTAATAGAGTTAATCCTATGATGATTAGGCTATTCAGACATTTTTGCTAATTAATCGCCAGCCCATTAGCTCATTAGTTACCAGTCAGACATCTAATAAGTTAATTAGTGATTTGTTGGTGATTAGGTTACTAATCAAACTATTATCTTGGGTTATGCTTGTGATAATTAGGTTCAATTAGTAATTAATGTGTTTTTTGTTAATTAATTACTAATGAGACTAGCTAGTTAACTATGCATTGTTTAATGAATAAGTTACTAATAAGTTATTAAAAAAGGTCAGTTGTTTAGTTATTTGGACAATTATTTAACGTGCAATGACCACGAATTAGCTATTTTCAAGATCCTTTAATTAACAATTAATTTCTTTGTTCTACCACTCCACTTTCTTCTTCATTATTATTTTGGTGAAATCATGCTTTGTCTCTTTGTTTGCTACTTACGGTTGTTCAAAAATAGGTACAAGTGTCAGAAGCTGCTTTGTTTTATGCCGCAGCGTTAACTAATGGGTGGTGTATGAATTCTGTGAAAATAATGATGGTTATTTGTTATGGTATTAGTAAATGATTGGCTAATCATTCTTAATATAGATAGACTTTGCTGTGGATTTTATTGTAGAAACTATGCCATTCATGTTGACCTTGAAGAGTATGACTTTGAAAGTTGCTATCCTTTTTTGCTTTCTTGATTTCAAGTATCTAGCTTTACTGTTGAGGATTTTTTGTACTATATTTAGGCATTTTTCTGTATTTATTTATCCATAAAATATATAGAAAGGTCTATGAAATAGCTCGATCTTCAGGAAGAGGGCTCGGGTACTTGATCAGAAGCAAGGTACAAGTGATAGATGTAATGCTATAGTAAGATTGGATGCGTAGCACGAATGAGCATTAGCTCAAGTGTTATTGCGCCCACCTCATAAAGTGTGAAGGGGTTCAACTGCTAGCTATGTTGAGCGCTTTCGTTTAAAGAAAAAAGGTTTGATTGGTAAGGTTATAGTAGGTAGTTAGCAATTCAAAAACAATAATATGTGATTCTAAAAGTGAGTTGAATTCTAAAATGAATACAATGAAGAATCACACTTATTGTTTCTGAATCTCATCTAAAAGATGGAAGGGCAATCAACATAGGAACTTGAAGGTTAAAATATGAAAAGAAAAATGTACGCAATATGGGAAATTATAATTGCATCCTCAGGATGACTGCTATAATTTGTTGTCCTGGTCTTCTAAAAATGGTTTCACTGCTATATTAGGAACTTAAAAGTAAATAATGCATGGGAGGAACAACTTTGAGGTGCAACTCAAGTGGCACAAATTCACCATATTCTATTTAGGAAGCGTAAATAAGGCTGTTTAAGTAAAAGGAAGCCAAGGTGAATGTAGAAAGGTTGACATGTTGTTTTTTTTTGTATGGAAACATACTTGACTAATGATCTGTATTCTAAGTATGACCAAAAAAAAAAAAAAAATCCTACTAATCTGTTACAAAATGGAATTTATAAAATCTGGTGGACTTTTTTAATGGGAAGCATTATGACCAAGATAAAAGAAGAATTTTAGAAGGTTAAAGCTTTTGTCATGATAGGGCTTTTAGATTCCATAGGTTATTGATATTATTTTTTTGCATTTTATCGCATGAAAAGCTCTCATAACATGAACCATGAACATGAAAATTACTTTGAAGGCTTTTTTTGATCGTTTTGTGCTATTATTATTTTGTTATTGTTTCGTATTAAATAAAATAATTGTATTATCACATAGATGGACTTGTTGCTTCATTGGTGTGTTCTCTGTGCTTAGTTGCAATGAGTGTGGACATTTGACATGGGTTAATGGGTATTACTAAATTGCATTTCCAAAACAAACTACAACCACATATTGGAATGAAAAGCATTTTCATTCCTTAAAGGCTCAAATATTCATTTACAAGAATGACAGTTTGCTTGGTGCTTTGAAGATAGTGTCCCATTTAGCAACTTATAATTTTTTGAGTAATCAATAATTTTCTCTAGTGTGTGGATAAAGTTTTTATTTACTAATGTTGGTGTTATATGGATTTATAAGTAACATGTCTTGATGCATCCAATTTTTGAGAAGGTATCAAACTAATTCAAAAAAAAAAATGTTTTTTTTTTCCTTGTACTTTTGATGCCATCAATTTGATGTTTAATTATGCACTGCAGGATGTATTTAGATCCTCCATCAGAGCTATCTTTCATGCATACATATGCGCAACGTGAGAATGTTCCAGGCACAATTATAATTGATGGTAAGATATAAATTACATATTTATTTAGGTCTTACATGTTTTTCAATAAAAAACTTACGATATTTCTTATGCTTTCATTTCGGACGTCTGACTTGGTTATTCATTGCATGCCGCAAAGTGTTTTTTTTTTTCAATGAATAAAGTTGAACAAAATGAAATATGATGCAATTAAGACTAGCTATTTTATGTTTTCTTTATCTTCCACTTGTGTTTTTATCTCCCTTTCTCTTGTGTCTTCTTTTAATTTCCCGTTGTCTTTTCCTTTTTCCTGCTATCTTCTCATTTTCTTTGCTGTTTACTCATTCCTTTGCTGACTGTTTAAATTCCCTGCTGCTGTTTAGTTTTCCCATTTGACTGTTTAGTCTTCCCATGTGGATGTTTGGTCTTCCCATGGTGACTGTTTGGTTTCCCCCCATGTGGCTGTGCGGTTTTCCTGTTGTTTTCTTGGTTTCCTTGCTATTGGATGCTTGGTTTCCCGGCTGTTTTCTTGGTTTCCCTGTTGCTAGCTGCTCAGTTTCTTTCCCTTGCTGATCCCTGTGCTGTTTGCTTTGACTTCTCCATGAATATGCTGATTTGGACGGGTTTTAGTGGTTGTTTTGGTGGCCCATTTATGTGGAATAATAAATGTCATTCCCCCTTTTTTCTCCTATAAATTGGGGATGATTCCTTTGTGAAATTTTTTTTGGTGGATCATCTAAAAAGCCTGAGGGTTTTCTTAGTTTGCGAACTATCTTCCCCCTATCTTCTAATACTTTGTCTCGTAATTCTTTCTATTTCTCTCCATGGTTTTCATTCCATATGCATCTTTCTTCTCTAAACTATTATGAGAACCTGAAGGTTTCTTATAAGTTTACGAGCTATCTTCTATTTTTCCTCTACTACTTTGTCTTGGTCTTCTATCTACTTCTTGTCTCCACAGTTTCCCTTCCACATGTATCTTTCTACTCTAAATATTCTGAGCTGTAAGGTGTGTCGTGCCCTATTCTTTTAGTATTTTCTGGAGGAGCATTGGCCTATGCTGGATCATAATTCTTGTGATGGATCTCTGGTTTGTCCTTTCCTTAGAGCACCTTTTCTGATTTATGATTTGCATGTAAGGTGTCATACATGGTTGTTCTGAGGGTATTTTAATTTAGTTGTTTGGTTTCTTGTGTGTCTTTCTAACTATTTTCTAAGTTTTGTTTCCTACTTAGTTTCCATCATTTGTGTTTGCTTATGTGATATTGAAAGGAAGTGTCATAATTTGCATTCCAAGTGTTCCCTTACTTGATTTTAGGACCTAGCTTACATCAATTTGGTATCGAAGCCTTAGATTGCATCAAAATAATACTATTTTTCAACATCATACATAAATCTTGGCCTCATCTCTTTGAAATTTTGTTCTATTTTATTGTTGCTTACTTGCAAGGAGCATATCCAAATTGAACTTTTTTTGTCAATCACTGCCCATTATGTATTGCTCTTTTTCAATTTCCTTTCTTAAAATCTTCTAACATGTCGTAATTAATGGGTGGGCTTGGTGCAAGAGCTTGCTACTTGCATTGTGATTTTGACATCAAGCCCTGTGCACTGGTTATATCCTTTTAGTTGCATAGCTATTGCAATGACTAAATATTATATCGGAGTGTTTCTGGTCTAAATTTTCTGATTGTTCCAAAATATATGGATTATATGCTAAATTGTGCAGAATGGTGCCTGAACAACGTTAGCAGAATTTCTTTGTGTGAGGGATTTTCACAGCATTTGATTAGGTTGCGTTACATTATTGAGCATTTGTTATGTTTTAGTATGGAAAAATGATGTCATTAATACATACAATGAAAAAAGAGTATATTCTAGAAAGTCTATGATTGTCATCAAGTGAGAGTAAGATAGTTGGAAATTAAGATTGTTTGGGCATGGTTAGCGAAAGAAGAAGAAGCACCAATAGTGCAGAAAGCTAGAATTAATGCCATTATGCTAGGTAGGTAAAGGATAGGCCCAAACTATTGAAGTTAGAAGCAGTTTAAATTGTGTAAATTAAGAATACTAAATTTGGCACCAAGAAGTGATGACTCAGCATTGCATGCTTCACAATGATATGAATTTCATGATAAATGATTATATTTGTGATAGAGTTTGGAGAAACATCTAGTGAGTATATGATAGTTGATAAATGATTGTAATTGTTTTAGCACATGTAAACAAAGAGAAGAGGAAGCACCAATAATCCATATGGTCGAACGCATAGTGTTAGTCTAAATGTATCATGGCAGTAGTTGTTCAATTAGATTCAAAATTGATGCTAAATGCAACTCCAAAAATTGAATCTATGGTGAGGAATGTTCCACTTAGAAGATTGAAATATATAGACTGAATGTCACACCCCATTTTGACCCTCTATAGTCAATCTAGAGTGTAACATAAAAGGGAGAATCTGAGCAGACCTATCTCTTACTAGCACTCATCCTGAATTACTTCTATCAATACCAAGTGAGGAGGAAACAATCAATCTAGACTCTCCCAAAATCTCAAGTTTCTAAAACTTAAGACTAAAATCTATATTTGATGTAGACAAAGGGGGGGTCAACTCATGACAAAAATAATTAGATTTTTGGCTTCCCTTGAGTCTAATAGCTCAATCCATTTGAGCTGAAATTTTAGCTCATTTATGAGCTGGTCTTTAGTTCATTTATTGAACTAAGGGTTAGCTCATTATTAGCTAACATTTTAGTTCATTTATTATCTTACTTTTTATTAAATATTATTTAGTTTTTAATGTTTCTTTTTATGGTGTCTCTTGGGTTTCCAAAAAGG